TCACACCTCGTGAGACGAACGATAAACCACGATCAGAATAAATATAAAGTGGCACGCCGAAGGCTGCAAACAGTTGCTTTAGACAGCTAATCGCAGTCGATGCGGTCATGTCGCTACATGCGAAGGGAAACGGGAAGCGCGATGGTTCCTCAACAACCGTGCCTAGATATTCGGATTTACTCATCAGTAGGGGATTTCGATATTAGATAATTGAGGTCCATTATAGCCAGCTTCTAAATCAGACATTCGTCCACATGCCTGGAAAAGCACTAGACTGCAGTTTCAGCCTGTTTGGGCATCGTCAATAGTGCGTATCCATCGGATCCATCAGGATTCGAACCCATGACCACCAGCGGCTTGCACCGCTAGTCAGTAGCTTATGTCACTGGCGGTGGAAGCCGCTGGTGGTCCTAGGTTCGAATCCTGATGGATCCGATGGATATGCACTACTGATGATATCCAACAGGCTGAAACTGCAGTCTAGTGCTTTTCCAGGCATATGGACGACTATCTGATTTGGAGGCTGGCTGTGATGAACCTCAATTATGAATAGATCTTCCTTACTTGTTGCTGAATACGAAAATCCCTTGAGATTCATGTTTCGTCTTTCGCAGAAGTGTAGTCTTGATGAGCCTTCCGGAAGATTTGTAGAATTAGGGTTTGAATGAAAATTATAGTGTTGCTCGTCCCAACACCGGCAAAGTTGAATTTGGAGAATCCGCTGGTGGCTGGGTTGCTACAAGCAACCTCAATTGAGACCTCGGTTCACTTGATGTGGACCTCGGCCATTCCGATCAAAAAGACCGTAAGTAAAATGAAAATTATAGTGTTGCTCATCCCAACACCGGGTTTCATTTTAGCGCAAATGTTGCCGTCGGCTGTTATGGCTTTCCGCTGGACTGAAAAAGCATATAGCGTGATCGAACCAGATGAAATTTTCTAGTGACTCCGGGATGGCACAGTATCCTGTAATTCCTGGAGTGTCATGGCATGTAATTGTGATGAGTCACATATGCGTGGTAAAACGTCTGCAACCACCTTATCGCTTCCATTGCGGTAAACCAAGTCATAAGTATGACAAAGTTCAACGCGCCAACGCTGAATTTTATCCTTCTTGATCTTGCCCTTCTGATTAAGGTTAGACATGAATGAGACAGATCGCTGATCAATAATAAGAGTAAAGCGGTTGCCCATTCGACAAATGCCGCCCTTTGCGGACCGACTCAACCATAGCTTGTGCTTAATTCTAGACGGCTGAATGGTGTCGTTCGCTGGCGGACCGCATTCGTGAAAAGAAAGCAACCGGTCGTCCGTTCTGTGTTATTGTGGAAGCAATTTCAATATCAGATGCATCCGCATCAATTACTAAGGATAAAGAGACAATCACAAAGTTCTTTTTCACCATTAATATTCTCGACTGCTTCCGAAACCAGAGTGTGGAGGGGGAAGCAGCAGTTGTCAATTAGTGACCGGATTTTATCAGCGAAATGTGCGATCCATTGGGAATAATGTGCAAAAATTTCCACCACGCGCTGTTAAGATTTTAGACAAGAGGGTGCGGGCAGGCATCTCAGAGGTTAAAGTGGACTTGGTCTGGTCGAATAACCTCGTGTGAAACCGGTTACCCCAGTAGTCGTATCTTCCCAAACCTGTGACGCTTTTGCTTTCGTTGACTGTTTGGTTGTTTTCGTCCGACTTCGTTAAGCTTTGTTGGATTGCGATCATGCTCTTCCTCGGTTGCACCGCACATCGATATTTTGTCAATGTAGGCGAATGTCGCGTTCAAATTATCGTTGTTTATTACTTTCTTGATGACCCTCTGAAAACAGGCAACCCCGTTGGTTACACCACAAAATCTGCAACAGAACTGGAAGAGACTTCCACAGGTTCCAAATGCGGGGAATTTCCTTTCGCTTGCCTACATAGGAATCTGATGACACGCACACTTTAGGTCTAAAGTACTGTACACCGAGTAACGAGAAATCGTGTCGATAAGGGAGTCAATCCTATGGAGAGCATACACATCTAGATGAGTGTACTGGTTGGTGGTTTGGCAGTAATCTACAACCATTCGGCATTTATGAGTCCCCTCTGTAGTCAAGCAAACTTGACCTCGTCACGGAGATGCCGATGTTTCGATGATTCCGTCTTTAAGAAGCTTTCATATTTCCACACAAATAATCCTCTCGTCCGCAATGGAGTTACGCCTCGAGATTTTGGCGATCGGTTTATGCGTGGAGGCATCATTTCCAAACTGGCTGCAAATAATGCACACAAAGAGAGGCGGGCTGTTCACCAAAGAATGGAATTTGATCAAATTGGTAATGCTTAAGAAAATCATGTCCCAAGCGTATATTTGAACAAAGTTTTGGAAGTACGGACAGTTTAGCGTCTGTGATGATCTTTATACTGCACATTGACAAGACAATGACACTGACGAAACTTGCTGAGTGTTAACCATCAAAATGTTGCAATGTGAACCGCTGAGATTCCAGTTGAACCGCTTAACAACCGATGCGGCAATGTGGCTTTCAGTGCTTCCAGTATCCATCAAAGCTTTTAGAGGAACATTATTGATGAGCACCTCGATGACGGCGTGGGAGAGACTGATTGATGCCTATCTGACCTTACTAGAGGATAGACAACCATGGAGCACCGAAAGAGTACTTTTAAATAAGGAACGACCAAGTTTCCCGTTCTGTCCTTTTTACAGCCGTCGCAAATATCGTCGCGCGCAAGGCATTGAGATCGACTATTTCTGTTCAGTCCGCGGAAGAAACACTTGCTATTCGATACGGTGGCGGCAATATTCTTATCTTGGACTACTGAGACCCTTGACGCTTACAAAGGTTCATATTGTCCTACAGTAGATGCGCCTTAAGCGTTCTCTGACTAGTGTAACTGTGACTGATGATGAGCCGTCTCGAGAGCTCGTCCTTGTTCAAAAGCGGTGTGTAAATCGGGCGACACATTTTCCAACCGACGTTGACAGATAGCTTGATAGTGAAGCCCAATTAGGAATGCATCTCGAGTGGCGTCTTCGCGATTCTTCTCTGTGAGCGTTTTTGAAGTTACAATGTTTGGCCAGTGGTTCCAACTGCTGCGTGATTTTGTGGAGAGTCTCGTCTACTAGTTGCTTGCTAGTAGCTAGGGCAAGACATGCAAAGATTTCGTTTTTTCGGCTTGATGTATATATATCTGAGAGTTTCGATATCGAGTCCGTCGGTTGTGCACTCATCAATGTAGTTGTATACATCAGGAGATACTTAGATCGCAAAAATCCCCAACCTACTGAACAACAATGGGTCAACGGTGCCCCAAATATAACTAAACTTATCAAACCACTGGATCCCGGTGTTTCGCCGAGTTCGGGTTGCTGCGGTTGGCATCGGAACCTTCTGGCTATATAAATTATAATGGAATTGAATGCGAAAGAATACCACGAGTGAGAAGAATGTGAGCCCGAGAGGTTAGGCTTTATTCAGCAAGCATGTAGGCTGAAATGCAAAACAGAAAGGTCATGGCAAACGAGTAATAAGCGAGAAGTATACATATCAGTGTCTATGTTGCTCGATATGAGTTGCGCGTGATGATAGAATGGCTCGTTGTAGTGGTGTATAAATCAGGTCTAACTAGGATCTGGCCTAGATTCGCCTTTTCTCAAGGTAAACCTGCTGTCGTCGGCAGGTATCCGAGTGGTCTTCGCGCTTGGTTTGCAACCATAAGGTCAGCGATTCGAATCCGCGTAAGGGTGGGAGTCCTCGCGATATACTTAGCCCAGCCGTGACTGGTGCTGGTCTCGTGGGAGCAAAGCGCCGTTATGGCACACAGCTGGCAAATTCTCGGCTTTTAAAGATAAGGACGATGGGGCAGGTTCGTCCTGACATCGTCTTCCTCAGTCGCTTATTTGTGCGTGTTACACATGTCTAACAGTATGCTCTCTACTCTGTCAAGAGCCACACTGTCCGGAAAGTTGATGTGGACCACGTTTTAGTCACGATGAGCGCACTCACTTGTTTCCTTGGTTATATTCGCAAGAAATCCGCCGGCTGCTTTCAATTAATTGGGACTAACGGATTCGTAAATGTCTGACAGCTGGGCTAATGGCATAATCTTTGTTTTCGAGAGTTAAACGCTTCGGTCAATTGATCGACAAAATTGCTTTTGTGCCCCATCATCAAGCTGTGTGCAGCTTTGGTGCTGAAATGTTGGTATTCGTAGCGCTTTTCGCAGTCTTACAGTTATGACTGTTATGTATAGCTCGCATCATAGATAAGACGACGATACAGCGATACAAATACGAAGATGGAGTGAAAAATAGGCAAAACGCTGTATGTGGGGAATCAAGCGCACACAAGGCGGTGGCTGGACCGTAGTCCGCTCCACACTAAGTGTATGGAACCACTCTTCGTGCCTAGCACGACCACAAGGACCGTGCACACTGTCCCCTCCAGCAACGACCAACAGTCTCCCAGAGCCAGTATGGATGAAGTAGTGCGTAATAAACAGATAGACAACTTGCCAACACGCACATCAATCGCAGTCACACCGGGGATCTCAAGCAACAGCCAATCATTTGAAACCACAAGATGAAATAAGATGATAATTTGAATAATGCATAGAGATACGGTGATATAACTCTTCGCTAAATTAGCATATGAAGTAAGTTGGTTAGCAACGAGTCCACGACAAATACACAATGTCCAAACGTTTCCTAAAAATGCCACTAACGCAATCCAGTTAACGAAGATAACTATAATTAGCGTAAGCAACTAGTGCAAGTTAATAGAAAATTATTCAGGTAGGGGGAACAAACCAAATAAAGTGGAATGAAATGTATCCAGCTTAAAAAGACCTAGTTTAACAGTTGCTTGGTTTAACCCAACTACTCTGCAGAAGCACCAAGAATGTAATATCGTCCTCAACATAGTTCATATATATATATATATGTAGTGTCAAACCTTGATTCTCCTAAATTTTCTTCCCCTCCCTCCCTGCAGTTAACTTATTTTAATTTGCGCGGCCGCGCTGAACCGATCCGACTGACCCTTTTGGCTGCCAATGTGGACTTTGAAGACAACCGTATCTACTCGAATGAGTGGCCTGCTTTGAAGTCCACAGTTCCTGGGGGCAAAGTGCCCATACTGGAAGTCACCCAAGGTGGTGCGACTAAAGTCTACACAGAAAGTATGGCTATTGCACGGTTGTTTGCCAAAAAACACCACATGATGGGTAGTACGGATGAGGAGTACTACGAGATCGAGCGTGTGATCGGACAAGTGAGTTCTGACCCAATTTATTCTTCTTTTTTGCTCTTCCTGGAACTCTCTGTGCTAGTTATCGTGGCTGTATGGAAACACAATAGCTCCGTAGACTTTTAAGAAGCATGGGTTGTAGTTACTTATGCTTCCAAATTAGTTCCCTCGTTTGCTGATTCGCGCTATTTGGAACCATTATAAGCTATCGATGAGGCTCATTTCACTTTATCAAGCATGATCCACGGCAGCGAAGTGTCTTGAATCCAATTCGCTTGTGCTGTTTTTTAGGGACTTTGGATTTTGCTTTCTGACCTGCTTGTCAGTAGGCTGTTGAACTGAGTGACAACCCCCAGGTCACCATTCGGCTAGGAAGGACCAGCCAGTTGCGCCAATGGTTGGTTACGACGTGAGATTCTTTGGTGCTTTCTCCAACGTATTCTACATACTACATAGCGAATTAGTAGTGTTGCAGGATAGCTGCGGCCAAAAGGTGTGTCGTTGTTACTATATCGACCTTATGTCCCTCATTGGTGAGCACGTTGTCCAGCATGACCAGTTCGTTTCATGTTCTGCGACGTGTTGGTGAGGTAACAGTTGCATACCTTAACCTAGGGATTAGCACTTGCAGTTCCTCCTTGAATAGCTCACCGAGAGTGGTCGGGGCTTCTAGATCGTGTGGGTCTAAGTTCACTACCAAGAGAACGTGGTTGTTGGAGTGCACAAGTAGAACCCGGTCCATTTCTAGTGCGGATATTGATGGACGATATACAATTACTACTATATCAACATCTCCCTGCCTTAGGTGCAGGCGATGCTATAATAAGTTTATAGCTTGAACACATGCGACATACGTTTAGGTCAGAGTAGGGGTAGTGAACTACGCTGCCTTCCTTAGTGTGTCAGGCTTTGTGCAGGAGTGGCATGTTTCGCGTCATTATGCCATGTCTCGGTTATCACGATTAATACCAAGATATTGAGGCTTGATGGGGTCAAAGGTCTCGCTTTGTTGAGGAGGTCCTGTGCGTGTATAAAACAGTTGCGATCCACCGATACCAAAGGGTTATCTGAGTACACAAGTGCCCCCTACAGACCCTTGTGAAGTTAGCTGATAATCGCTTGTTGAGTGCATTTCAAACCCCATCGCAATGAGGCTGGACCTTACCGTGGTGCGATGGTTTGTGTGCCTCAGCGATCCATGGAGCTATGCTGTGTGGTGCTTTTGCACCTTCAGAGTCACTCATACCAGATTGGTCAATGGTTAGAGGCCAGACAAGCTCAGCCTCCTGGTCCCCCAGGTTGGGGGTTGGAATGAGGGTGGCTCCTTATTCCTTAAAACGGACTCCTTGTAGCCCAATGCCAAACCCGCTGCCTTGCGGTCAGGTTTTTGAACCAATGGCTTTGGTTGTGAACTCTAATCGTTCTCCTGTCTGGCCCTGGGCAAGCTGACAGTATCCTGCCCACGCAATACCATGAATCTTGCGGCAAACAATTTCTTGATGCTCTGGCCACCGCACAGGATAATCAACGGTGCCCTGTCTGCTGCATCGAGCAGGGTAGATAGGGTTTGAATGCTACTGCTCAAGCCTTCCCGTCTTCTTATTCCCCCTCCTACGCTTTCCCACTCTTACCGTCCCTTTCCAATGTCACTTATATCCCCCCAGTTTTCAACCCCCGATTCTTGGCCCTCCCCCAACATGTTTTGCCAGGCATTTATCTTCTAATTTCAACTCACATGTGAACGCGGAGCGTCACTCCTCTCCTGTCGACCAGCCCACGTCCAACCAAGCGGTCCATTCCAGTTCATCGGCTTCCATTTGGAGCCCTCGATCCTCCTTCAGATTGGCATGCGTCAATGTACGCACACTGTTACAAATCGGTCAACAGGCAGCACTTGCCCGAACATTGGAGACCTCTCGATCGATATCTGCTGCTTATTAGAGACCCGGCTGCAAGACTCGAGCTCTGTGCCCACCCTGCGATCCGCTTCAGGTGACGCAACACAGTATTTTCTCAGTGCGCCTATCCGGTGACGATGCAGCTTCGAGCACCGGCCAAGCTGGTGTTGTCATTGCCCTGAGTTCCCGGGCTGAAGCTGCTCTGGTGGATTGGATTCCAATCAGTAGCCGGATGAGTGCGGTCCGATTGGCTGGTTCGTTCAAAGCTTCGAAGTCGCGTGGGACTAATAGGTGTCTACTCATCATCGCTGCCTACGCGCCCACAAACTGTGGCGATGATTCGGTAAAGAACGACTTCTACCGCCAACTGACTCAGCTCCTTCGCCACAGAAGAAGCACGGACACTGTTGTGCTGGCGGGGGATATGAACGCACAAGTTGGAAAGTTGTCCACTGATGAACTGCATCTGGGCGGTCAGCACGGTGTAGGCTCCCGTAATGATAACGGTGAGCGGTTACTTCATTTGTGTGAAGACGCTGGCTTATTTCTTGCAAGCACTAATTTCCGACACAGCACCCGCCGAAGGGTGACTTGGCGCCCACCAGCCTTGCACGCAGATCGATCACATTGCGATAAGTTACCGCTGGAGAGGCTGCATCCAGAATTGTCGCTCGATTTGGAGCACAGGTGTGGACATCGATCATGCACTTGTATGTGCTGACATGCGAATGCGTTTTGGCGGACGCCCACGATGACGCTGTGAACACATTGACACCAGCCAACTAACAAAGCCAGCTGTTCTGAATGCGTATCGAAGTACGCTGACATGCGAGTTGAGTAATCGCTCACAGGCGACAATTGATGGTCACTGGTCACATGTTCGCCAGACCTTACTAGCAGCAGGCAAATCCTCATGTGGTATGTCTAATAGACAACATGGACATTGGGTCTCTTCGCAGTCTTTGGAACTTATAGATGCTCGCCGGCAAATCCTGGCTGGAAGCGAGCACAATGAAATTAGCAAAGAGCTCCGGGCAAAACTCCGCGATAGCCTGAAGAGAGACCGCGAATCTTGGTGGTCTCATCGTGCGTCAGAGATGGAAGTGGCCGCTGCCTTTGGCAACCATCGTACGTTATTCCGTCTGATACGGGAAACGGGCAGCAGGAGACCTGGTGTTAGTGAAACAATTTGTGATGAGAGTGGACAGCTTATCCACTATTTGTCAAAGCGTCTGGAGCGTTGGGCTGAGCATTTTGCAAAGCAATTTAATCGGCAAGAATTGTTCGATTCTTCGCCGGTCACTGATCGCCCTGCTCCGTGGGCTGTCCCTTTGGATCCACCCTCTCGCTCAGAAGTCGAACGTGAGATCGGACTGTTGAAGTTGAACAAAGCCGCGGGACCAGATGAGCTTCCTCCAGCCCTCTTCAAATTCGGAGGCTCTGCTCTTGTTGATGCTTTGCATGAATTACTAGTGAAACTGTGGCAGCAGGAGACTGTCCCAACCGACTGGAGCCGCTCCGTTATTGTTCCCATCTTCAAAGGCGGCTCGCGCTCGGAATGTGGCAACCATAGAGGAATTAGTCTGATCTCCATCGCCTCCAAATTACTCGCCTCCATAATTCTTCACAGACTGACTGGCGCTCGTGAAAGCCAGATTCGTGAGGAGCAAACCGGGTTTCGTCGGGGTCGTGGCTGCATCGACCACATCTTCACCTTGCGTCCGTTGTTGGAGCACCGTCACACATATTGGCGGCCCACCGTAGTCGTGTTCCTCGAGATCAAAGGTGCCTTCGATTCGGTTGATCGATGTGCCCTTTGGAATTGTTTACTCAGGAAAGGTGTGCCCGAGAAATATGTGAATATTATCCAAGCATTATATGCGCGTAGCATGGGCAGAGTGAGGGCTTACGGCAACCTGTCGCCACCCTTCAATATCTCCAGCGGTGTGAGACAAGAATGCCCGCTGTCACCTTTCCTCTTCAACTTCGCTATTGACGAAGTCATGGATATTGCATTTACAGGACATGACTTGGAAGGTGTGGAGCTATTCCCAGGAGAACGACTTCTTGACTTAGAGTCTGCAGACGACATTGCCCTCATCTGTGACAGCCCCCAGACGTGCCAAGCCGCGCTGGACATATTAGCACTGGCTGTCCGTCGCTTCGGGCTTTGCTTTGCACCATCGAAGTGCAAAGCGTTCCTCCAAGATTGGCAGGGTTCGCCCCCTGTGCTGACCCTTGATGGGGATCAGCTAGAAGTCGTTCAGAAATTCAATTATCTGGGAAGTTGTATCAGCGCCCTTGGGACCGAAGACGAGATCACGAACCGCATAGCGATAGCTCGAAGTGCTTTTGCTAACTTTCGCCACCTATGGCGGCGGCGCGACATCACTCTCGCGCTGAAGGGTACAGTGTACAATGCAGCGGTACGTTCGATCTTATTGTACGGTTGCGAAACTTGGCCCGTTAGATCGGCGGACATGAAGAGGCTAGTTACGCTCGACCATCGGTGCCTTCGCAGTTTGGCTCACATCTGGTTTGAACACCGCGTGAGTAACGAGTGTGTTTGACGCGTTGTTTACGGCCCAGGAAAAGGATCTGAACCGCTCAGCACCGTCATTTCACTCACCACGCTCCGATGGCTCAGCCACGTGTTGCGCATGCCAGCCCACCGACTCTCTCGACGTGCGTTGTTTGCTCACCGGGGATGTGGGTGGAAGAAGAGGAGAGGTGGCCAAGCGATGACTTGGTCCAGAGGAATGAAGTCCCTCACTTCGGAGCTAGCCTCGGTTGAAGCGTCACGGCTCCCAGGTTGTGGTCCAAAAGACGGTGAACACGTTTGGCTGGATACACTTGCTGACATGGCAAGTAGCCGAACTCAGTGGCGTTTGTGCTGTGAGTTCCTTTGTCCCTTCCCATCCCTTTTAGCCTCCCCCTCCACCTGCGATCTCATTTCGTAGGTTTAAAGGTAATAATTTTTTTTCCCTTTTGCCTAGTAGCTGGCTGGTAGCATACCGGAACGATGCCTATCCGTTGCTGGTAGCTCAGCTACCATGCAGCTGTCGTATGTATTTTTCTTTGTGTATTGTATTATATGTATGTATGAATGTATTTTCTTAATGTATTGCGGCACAATAGCGGAGGTGTTTCCCCACCTCTAGCTGACGTGTATAATGATGATGATGATGATAATGATGCATTTCAAACCTACCACCCGAAATCGCTTTGGACGGGTGCGCAGATACCCCGTTTCTTGACTCTCCAGTTCTGGCGTACGCTGGATTACCTGTTTATACTTCATATTGTTGGAGATTTGGCATGTCCCGGTTCCGAGGTGCCTCGCAACCAAATTCCGTTATTTTGGCCAATGTTGATCTGGCTTCAACTGCCTTCAAACATTATTCTGGTAACAGATTGGTGTGTAGCTTGTACTAACTTCCAAGCACCGTTTCTACCATTTGTTTTCAATGGAGCATAGCTTATCACTCTTGGATCACATCATTTGTGCTTGGGGATAGAAGTAACCTTGACGCTGAGTTGGCATTCACGTCATTGAGAAGGAAAACTTCACGGGTGTAGCACCACTCCTCCAAGCCATGAGCTTAGTTTTACGACTTGTCGGATGACTAGATTTCGGGAACACCACGGACAGAGACTATTTTTCGCTGTTTCACTAGCAGTTTTGATGTGTTTGTCAACGCTCATCCCAAGGGATGTCGAGAACTACGGACAGCGCAAGACCAATCACAAAGACTGGGGAACGATCTGCATTTTGCCACCCATAGTGAACTGAGTTCAGGTGGCGGACGATGCGAACCCTATTGACCAATTTAGTCGGGATTCATAATATTTGGCCAATGAAGTTCCACTGTTTTAGGTCATCCAATAACGTTTCTGTTAGAGCTGGCCTTTGACTCATGCACGTTAGAGCATAGTATCTAGGTTGTTAATGACAGATCACAGGCGCGCTATACTTACCTGTGTGAATGAAGCCGGATTCTCTGATAGGTGTGTGCAGGGCTTTGTCGGTTAGAGGTATGTGTTATTTCCTTCAATGATCTTCCACTTTATTAACCTATGCCTTTCTCCCAGTGTACCGATATCGATATGGAACTGTTTCCCGCATTCAGAGCCTCGGATGAAGAAAAATTGAAGATAGCACAGACCTTCAGAGGAGAAGCTGGTCCGCGACTATTGACAGTGAGTTCTGTCTATGAGTTCTTACCGTTGTTCTCAATTGTTTTATCATTGGACACATTACAAAACAAAGGAGGTGCAGCCGAAAGGCATTCGATGATATTTACAGTTGAGGTGTTGTGTCTGTGAGACTCTTATGAAGCAGTCCATCTAGTTTTCGCGTGTACTCATCTCTTCTTAACAGACGGCTTATCCACCAAGTTGACCTACTCCTTGTTAGTTTCCAAATGGTGATGTTCACCGTTTGGATTAGCTTATCGACGAAATGCGTCGTTAGTAGTGCCCTGCATGGTGCATGGTGCTTGTTTTTCGCTCGACGAGCTACCCTCTCTATCGTGGATATCATCATCACTAGCTCCTCAGCGGAAAATTCTCTGCTATGCTTCTTGACTTTTTCCCTTCAAATGCTGGTGAATTCTGCTCCTATGCTCCTCTCATCTGGGCTTCAGTGAATCCCCTCATTTGTCGGTTGTCTTGGATATCCCTTATGGTCACGTAGTCCATACGGCACTTTAAGTGGATGAACATGCCCCATTTGCGTTATGACGTGTAGTCTACGCATCGCGATATACCCAGTGCTTGGGCAGTGGGTGGTTAGATAATTTGGACTTAAACCACTGGGCAGACTAACCTATGCGAGGGACCTATCGCATCCTTGTACGAAGCTCCCATATGTGCAACTTCCAAGGTGTTACTCATCGTGGTCAATTGGTTTTTATTTAGCAAACTTTGGTCCAACTTTGGATAAATAAAGACTACGTTAATCTACTCAGCCAAAGCTCCCTTCTGAATACGTCGCTAGTTTCCTGACGTCGCCTAAATTTCTCTGCTGGCAGGGTATAATGCAGCTATATAGAAAGAGCGCGAAATATGAAGCGGCATACGCATGCTCACCTGCGTGAAATGTTTTCAGTAACTCTTTGGTTAATAGTTGGGTCTGGAACTGTGTTTGGGATGAAACAGATAAACAATTTGCTTTGAACTCTTTATGTGTTTGGGGTAGTATTTCACCTCGATTTATTATTACTCGACAGTTGAAGTTGAGAAACACACCTAAGCATGTGCCACAGTACAACAGATAAGATAAATGGAAAAACGCGATATACTAAATATGACAGAGATCAAGGTAAAAATTAGGAAAAGTAATGTGGTAATATCATATTGCGCATCCGGTGTGCGATCGTGGTTGAACGGGGAGGATAAGCGGAAGGGAAGGGAAAAGGAAACTCATAACACAAACGTCATTGAGGTCAGCTTGTCACCATGCCAACAAGTGTATCTAGCCAGACGTGTTTATCGTTCTTCGGACCCTAGCCCGGCAGTCAGGAAACACGGACGGACTCCAACTTCGAAGTCAGAGCCGTCATACCTCTTGGTCTTGTCATCGTTTGGCCTCTCCTCCTCTTCCATCCACATCCCGGTCGCACAAATAACGCACGACGCGGGAGTCCGTGTGCTGATATGCGCAACTCGTGACGCAGTCATCGGACCCTGGTGCTGCTCGGTTCCGCGCTCTTCCTGTACCAGGTACGCGACGCCAGACACGCTCATTGCTCACGCGGTGTTCCCAGTAGGCATGAGCTGAGATGCGAAAGGCAGCGTCGGTCGAACTAACCATGTTTTTTATGTATGCCGACTTGATGGGCCAGATTTCACAATCGTAAAGAAGGGTTGAACGCATGGCTGTGTTTTAGACTATGCCCTTCATAGGGATGTCGCGCCGCCCCGAGCTTTTGCTATACGCCTCGTGACCTCATCTATTCCACAGGCACTAATCTACCTGTTAAATTTCTATACGACTGGCTGATCACCGTGAAGGGTCAACCCAGAGAAGAGCTTTAGATTTCGGGGGTGCGAAGCAGCCAGCTAGTGCTAATCTGTCTAGTGCTGCTTAGCACGTTTGTAAGCTGTCACAGATAAGAGCAATGTCGTTAGTATACTTCAATTCAAGAAGTCGATCATCTTAGAGCAGCTCCACATCTTGCAGGTCGTATCCAGGAAACACAGTCTCCATGACTTCGTCTATGGCTAAATTGAAGAGAAAAGGTGACTGCGGTTAAATTTGTCTCACGCCTCTGGAGATATTGACGGGTGACGACTGTTAGCCGAATACCCTCACTTTGCCCGAACTACAGGCGTACAGGGTTCGGGCACAACTTTCCAGAACGGACAATCCCCAAGAGCACATCGATCTACCGGATCGAAGGTCACTTTGATGTCAATAAACATAATTTTATACGGGTTAAGAAGCACTGCTTTACGAACCTCGTTGAGTGATCTGGTGGGTTATCGAAAAACCTTAATGCAAAGATGCAGTTAGTACTTTTACTGCCAAAAGAATTTATAATACAGTAGGCCGCGTAGTTTCCCAGTTCCGATAAGTGATAATTAGTAAATCCAAGATATTTCCCGCTATTGAAATTGAGAGGTAGTGGTAAGTAATAAAATCTGAACGGCTGTGTGCGCCATCCAACCGACTTTTAACTATGGTTGATGTAATTTCAGAAACTATTGATGCGCGGAGAGCATTCCACTGGTGACATATGCGAATAGGAAACCTATTTCTGCGGCACTCCAGACGGCCATACGGTTCTGCGAGTTTCAAGGAGTGACCTCTCAAGTTTCTAGTACTGCTGAGTTGCAGTAAGGAGCAAGCGATAGATGAACATCACACAAGTGTAGCAACCGTTCACCGTCACCATTACGGAGGCCTGTGCAGTGTTAGAAGCTCAAACACAGTTCATCGGTGGACAGTTTTCCAACTTGGGCCTTCAGATCATCAACAAGCACCACATTATCCGTACTTTATTAACGTGTGAGCTCTTTCGTTTAGTGACAGAAGTCATCTTTCACCGAGTTATTGCCATACTTTGTGGGCGCATATGCAGCAATGACCTCGATCGAAATCTGTTCACTGAATCATCTGCCTGTTAATGCCAGCATAAGGGTGGGGATCCTCGCGGTATACTCTGGCCACACGCGACTGGTGGTGGTCGCGCGGCAGCGAAGCACCGTTACGGCTTATAGGTGACGGTTTAATTTTTATCTGTTAACACAAACGTCGCGTCACTTGCTTCAGCATCACTATACACCTCAGCTAGGTGTGTGAAGTATCTCAGACATTGTGCCGCAACGGGAAACAATTAGATAGTAGCATAGCAGAATGAGAAAGATAAAGGCCATAACAAAAGCATCACAACACGAAAAATCGTGTTATGCCTTGGGGCTGAGGTCTGGTTGGAGAGTGAGGCCAAGCGGATTGGAAACGGACAAAGAAACTCACAACGCAAAGCCTTTAAGGTCAGTTCTTCACCATGTCAACAAGTTAACATAATCAAACGTGTTCACCGTATTTCGGAGTCTATGGGATCCAGCCGTGACAAACTTCGAAGTGAAGGCCCTCATTCCTCTTGACTAAGACATCGATTGGCCTCCCCTTATTCTATCCAGATTTCGGTCCTATAGACAATGCACATCGCGGGTTTTTTCGTGCTGGCGTGCTTGTTTAGCTATCGAAGCCTGTTGCGTGAAGTGGTGATGCTGAACCTTTCATTTCCTTCTCCCGCATCATAAACCAAACTCCGAGCACGCTCATTACTCACACGGTGTTCCCACCAGATGTCAATCAAAGTAAGAAGATAGCGCTGCCTAAGTACAACCCACGTGCTTGTACGATTATGCCTTATTGTCATTACTTCTTCGACTGTGTGTGCATTGTACTCGGTCCCTTTTCACCTCTATTTTTCTACCGGCTTCTCAAATGTCGATTATCGTTTCGTGTCGACCCAGTGAACAGCTGAGTGAGCCTGCTGCGTCAACACCCTGTGATGAGACGAATCCCGCATTCGGACTCGCTTTCCACAATCCAGTTGTGTATCAGCCAATACCGAATCCCACATGATGTTGCAGTCTTCTATCTGCTTGAGGTGATCAGCAATCCGTGCGGCGGACATATTGCTTCCATCACACTACCAGCGCGGCCCGTTTCCTTTTCGTGTTTCAGTACATACTCACACATGTCTACTCTCGTCCCTTCAGTTTGAAGGTAACGTGTGATTTCTGCCATTTGGGATGGTTAAAACTACCGTATATTAGCGAATATAAGTCGATGATTTTTGGGCAATTTGTCATTTCTTTAATGGGGCAGTCGGCTTATGAAAGGCTGTACGCGATTTGGAAAATGTCGCATGCAAAATCCACCCAAGAATGCACTGAATACCTCTGCCCTTATCTCACGTTAGCAACACCGGCTAGTGACGGTCGGTATTCCAGATGGGGGTTGGAAGTGCCCATAACTGGACACATTATTTTTGTGTTGAATATTCTCGGTCTATTGCACATTTGACGTTCGTGACAGACGGCAGTATCAGAAACAGACGGGGTTATACAGAATCAAACACCTTGAAGGTAGGAAGTCGTTCCACAACCCTGACCATGAAGTTCAATCTCACCGACTGCTCTACTGTGGTTTATATGCATGAGGCCCCCGACTATGCGCGCGGCCTGTTTGACATACACTCTCACGTTGCTCTACATTCAGATGGTGAATAAGTCCCGTGTTACTCATGAAAAGTCAATATAGCACACAGTCACGCGTTCAGTGATTAGTCATCAGGCTGAGTATAACACGTAAGCAGCTAACGTAGCAGGTATTAAGCGTGGAGTAGGAGGTAGACATGACAACCGTGTTTCGACTGGTTCACACGATTATGTGTGCAATAGCTGGCCAGGGAAGAGCACCCTCAGTGTGTGTGTGTGTGTGTGTGTACAAATAATTTGTGAGGACTCTTACTTGTCTACACCCCACACTCGGCTGTCTTGTCTGTTTCATGTGACTTAACATCTGGTTAATGCGCTGTCCGGTGCAGTGCAAATTATTCTGAGGGCTCTACACCCAGCCATTATAACGCATTGCGATCAACACAACTGCTCAATTGTTGAGCAGATTACTCTTAAACACACTCAAGTGAGAGCAGATAGTGGTGACGTCAAAATCGTGGAGAAATCATTTCATTTCCTTTTTTACTAATTTTTCGGGGGGTCGGCAAATATAGGCACTTACGAATCTGGACAAATTTGATGTTTTAAAATTACGCTGTCGGCCTGTCTATGGAAAGGCTTATTTTCGGTGATATACGGTACTTCTTATCTCACAATTGATGTTTATCGTTATTCAGCAAGCCCATGTGTCCAGTCAATCGACTGTTCCGTGCGCCATACTATAGTGGATCCAGTTACTTCCTAGACTTCACCGTAATTTCAAAACACAGCAATTAAGGTGAGGGTTCAGTTAAAGTAGGTTGAACGACTGAGTATTAGAGTTGTTGGATGATTGAATACAGAGTTGGAAACTGTAGTGTGAACATCAGAGCATCAATAAGTTCGACGAGAGTCGACAAACCACTCAGTTTGCTTACTACTCACTGAAGAAGTCAACATGATTGATGATGAAACCTTTACAACCAAACTGTTCAGCTCAGAGAACAGAACAAAATCTTACTTGAAGTACAGCCTTTGCTTAAGTTTATGCAGGTCTGTACTGCCGGAAGATTTCGCGAATGACAGGACTCAGATGGGAAGGCGCGCCCCGCGATGGTGGAACCCAACGGACGCGATAGCTGTAAGCAACTCGCAGCTAAATGAGTTAGGGTGATCACTTAGGTCATCCAATGACGGACCTGCCTGTAGCGTTTGTCGTATCTTAGTAAATCATTCAGGTGCTTCGCATGTTGGACACAAATTACTGCTCACATTAGCATGTGCAACTTATCGCTGATACGGGTGGATGCGGGTATCTCACCGAACAGTTTCAACCGGGACGCTATGTGAACCATGTGCCCATATTAACGCGACAATTATGACCACAAAGCTCATGTTTCTTGTGCTTTTTTGTCGCAGCTAATGTGTCAACATTTGGATTCTTCTCCGAGCGGACTGGTCGCTGGAAACACACTATCATTAGGCGACTTGGTCATCCTGTGCACCACGGACCAGGTAGAGGTGGTCGTGCCTGGATTTATCAGTGAGAAATTTCCGACTATCCAGAAGCATCGGGAACTGGTTCTGAAAAAGTGTCCGAAGTTAGTGGAATACCTGAAGACCCGAGGCTCCTTTCCACTTTAATTATACTTGCGTGCACATAATTTGACAGCGTTTCTCCCCCATTTCTTATCGCTTAGCATAATTCGTGTTTTTAAAATTAAACTTCTAATCCATTACAAGATTGTTATTCACTAACCATGCTTGGATTGGATACTTACCGGGCTTCATTCAACCGCAAGGCAGATTGCTATTCTCAGTGTACATCATATTGTATTGCGTTATCATGGACGATATTCATCTGTTGTCTTCCCTTGTGCTCAGCAATAACTCGCAAACTTAATTCCATCGATCGGATGCTGTTCATACGGTCGGATCAGATGTTTGTGCTCTAGAGGTAGTTACGCACAAGCAATCCTACTCGTTGATCGTTTGCCAGCCACCCAATCCCTTGCAATTGTAGTGGACTAATGGTGTCTGTGCTTTCACTCACTTTGTTCATCTAGTTCTTGTGGTGTCTTTACCACAGTCACTAGTAGGACCGCTTGTTATTGTTGTGGTTTGAGGCCTCTGTACCTTACCAATATTCAAATTAATTGCATCTCACTTACAACTCCCATGATCAACGAGCCCATCGGCATTTGAAGTGGAATGCATATTTTGGGACCGCGTATTTTCCATTCCTGGAAGAGTGTGCAACCAGTGTGGATGTAGAACAAACACTCTTCGGCAGATTGCGCTAATGACTGGCACTCCAGAACATGGCTTTCATTTGCAGGAGATCTAGTTATCTTGATACGCTCCGCTAGAACAATGCTGAGAGCAGTATCCGTTAAAACAGTAATAATAGGTGGAATGAGCAGATGGTTTAATCCAGATTCCAATTCGTCGGAGAGAACGCAACTACGCCCCAGACCACATGACCGCGTCATATTCGATAAGGTGCCCGACCGCTGACGTGACCCACCCGAGATCGCAATAATCAGAACGATAACAGCCATTCGCTTTCTTCATTCCAGCTCACAATATCACTGATTGGCTGCCCTAGGACTTGACCCAGCTAGACGCGGTACCAGCAAATAACCATGCCGGGGCAGTCGGTCTGGATGCATGCCGGTCAAGTAACCTTATTATAGGGTTATTCAGGTTCAACGGGCAGTTCGTTGAGGCGCCGGAGGGTTTGTTGTCAAGCCACATATGCACGTAAGTTACCCGAAACAGGCTAACGGATACATGCGTAGCAGGATAACCGTTACCACACTGTGCTCACACCTGCTCGGGATATCGCCCGCACACAAATGTAGGATGGGCCTCGGCGGTTTGTCCGTTTGATTTTTTTATTGGGTTACGCATACTAAGATTGAGCATACAGTAAAGGCTTTTTCCAATATTAACCAAGTACAGGAAGCCCAAAATTAGGGGTGGTCCGAAGAGTAACCACCAAACGGCAAATGGTATTACCCACTCGGCTTTCTCATCCTCTATGATCAGTACTTTTAGGCATTGATGATCAAACGCTTGGTGTCCTCCGTGTGTAGCGATCGGGCCCCTGAACACTGGCCGTACCGCGGCACTGCAAGCTCTATCCTTGGTCCATAGGGATATCCGTCGTCTCCGTAAGTGACAATATTCGAAAAGCCATGCAAGCCTTAGGTACACGAAAGTTGCTCCGCTCAGTGCTGCGAAAACCATAGATGACAGCTACCCAGACAGGTTAAGCGATCGACCATTTGGAGCGATTCTTCTAAGATTGTGGGAGCTGATGATTTACTGGCCCAACACCGCAGTGGTACAATTCGAAGGTGCAAAACGCATAAACCGTGTATTGTGTTTGTGACTGCTAAGAACAACCGAAGGTTGACCTATCGCAACCTACACCTTATCTCTGCTTTTACGAAATAGCTGAAGGAGACTCACTGTTTCACGTTTCTACTAGGAAGGCCCCCCTCTGCCGCTACTTAATCATTATAGCGCTCGCTGTCTTCACGCTGCAGTCTAACGGTGGAATGCACACTGATGATCTATTTGGGAGGAATTCGTCTGATCATGCTGTTTTCTATCATGGCTTGTCAATACATTATCAAGGAACAAACTATCCATTAATAACACCAATCCTACTGGGATCGCATCGGCACACATCAGCGCCTGTCCTGAATGGGGTTAAAAAGACCTCAAGACACAGAGACAATCCGTAGCACACTCGGTGGGTTGTCGTTGGTTTTGCCGCATGAAAAGCGAGACATTTTCGCTGCACTTCTCCGCCGTGCTGAAACAAAAACTGTGCGCGACCTGCAGGGTTCGCTTTCAGTGGCCACCATTGCTTGCTTCCCAACTAAGTTCTCCAAGCATGCGTATCATCTACTCAGTTCATTCGCACGCGGTTGAAATTGCTTCCGCTTGCATTGAAATATCGATTACTAATAACGAGGAAAAGCAAGCTCAGCGAGCCGACACACTTTAGTTATCTGTGTGAACGGCTTAATAATTTTCGTTAAGATCAACGGACAATGCGGGTTGGTTTCGGGTAGAATTGTTGGAATTCGCCAATCACTACCTGAACACATCGATAAGTTACGGGTGTTGTCTGAATGTTAAATACTATACGGTGGCTGGTGAGTTGAAACAGATGTGGCACCTAATGTTTCTGCGGTCGCATAAAGCATCGAGTATTATTATAGGAAACCAACTTAATTACAGTTCGAAAAGGAAGTCTATTCAGAGGACATACAAAGATTCTAGTCAGACAAGACACCGGATGACAGCATGTTGGTGGAGAAGCGTGGAAATGCAAATGCAGATTCTCCTACCGTTTGAGTACATCACTGAATCGTATTACTGGCATTTAATATCGATTGGGTCTCAGGCATCCGGCATGAAAGGTGCGCCCAGCTTGAAAACAGTAGGTAATCCACCCCGCTAGGTTATGTATATGAACAACACCTTAGCATAATGTTGCATGTTCATTGACGAAACTCTTGGACCTCGTGCGTAAACTCCTGGTGATAAGCTAAGAAACTATGTTATTTGGTGTAGACTACATTTCTTTCGATTTGTGGTTTTCCAGTTTTATTTCCAGGGGATATTTTTGCACTGGCTTAACTTCCAAAATATGTTGCTCTTATATTTCGCACAAATGCTTTGGCCGTCTCTCGTGTCTACCTGTTCGCGTTTCATCAACCTTTACTACTTTTATCTACTGGGCGATTTTTGTAGGCCCTATTGTTATAACGCGTCCTAGTTGTGTAGACTCTTGCACAGAACTGACGAGCGTTCCTCAAAGATAGCACCCCAGGCGCACAGAGTAGCCAGTAGAATTCGGCACGCCGCGGGCTAACACGACCTAGACGCCAGACGTACACGCGTGCTCTAGCACGGCTGCAAGGAGACCCAAACGAGAAAGAAAGACTGGTCCTTAGCAAGAGTTCTTTTAGTGCCACAGCAGTGTAATGTATAAACAGTAAACTGTATACAGTATATACAGTATAAATATATACATATATATACACAGTATATAAACTGTATACAGTGTAATGTATAAACTATAGAGAAGTTAAATGTTACCAAGACACATGAGTTGTCAATCAGTCCTGGGGGAAACACACTGTGTGCGGCTTTGTATAGTAACTGGTACAATGTACTGAGGAGAGCTTAGGTGGTTCACTGCGGCTTGGTACGATAGAAACATTAGCGTTATGAAGAGAGCAGCTTGCGCAGTGTCCTGAGTGGAGTTCAGTTGGTTCCCTGTGCCTTAGCTTCAAGGTCCTGGGGACGGCTCATTTGTTACTTACGCAGTCTGAGTTGCCCGCATGGCGCGCCCGGCAAAATCTGCGCAAGTTGCACGGAGCTATGCGAACTCCTCATCATCCATACAAGTGTGATTTTAAATCCGAGGATACCTTGTGATGTGAGGGAAGTCGTTTGTGGGGCTAAATACTTACGAGAAACTGTTCCGGTCACGCAGTCCAACATACCAGCAGGAGCGCGAGCAGCTGAAGCGTTTGACAGAAATAGCATATTCTGGAAATGTCGTTTGCACATGATTTAATCAGACGAATCATGAATACATCAGATGAATATAAACTACGCGACAAGGTCAAACTACCCATTAATACCTATTTGCCTCGATAACAACGAGAAACATGCTTGGGTTAACCATTATACTAGGGTTAACTATAGCTTTTTACAGGCGAATTCATGTATAGTGCTAATAAGTCGGCTTGTTAAAATGTCAGAATAAGGTGTTGTTCATTCAAGTTCACACGCGCATCACTTGATTCCCTCCCAGAGGGGTTACAGGCACGCACTATCAGTGACACTCTCATTGGTCATGGGACATAAGCCAATGGGACTTACTGGATACTAGTACAGGGCTAGTTGTATGCGTCTATGGGGGAGAGAGATTGGCAGCTTGACCAATCAGGTATTATGTCTCCGATTGGCTGCTCACTCTCGACACCATAGAAGTGTGCTGGTACACCGATTGCGATTAACAGATAGGCGACCGAGCCAATCGTACAGCTAACCCGCAAGTCTGCTACCAGCTTGCAAGTAGTTTTTAAACAAGGCGACATTACCTGCACA